GTGTAGTAATGATCTAAAATATTTAACATACTCTGTAGATACTTGTTCCATAAACTCCAAACCCTGAAAAGCAGGGATTGTGTCTTCACTGTGTACATAACACACTTCAAAGAAAACAGGCCCAGGTGAAATCTACATTTGAAGTTCAGCCATGATGGTAAAAGGGTAAAAATGGGGAAGAATCCCATAGGTAAATACGCCAAAAGAGATCCACCCTTTTGGACACGCCAGGAGGAGCTGCACTGAGCTTGTCTCAGCTAGAAGTCACTCTCAGACTTTGCATAGCTTACAGGTGGAGTCATGGCTTAGCAGTTTCAGTCAATTTTGCCCTAGACATAATTTTTATGTTTTGCATAGAGTGCATGGCTTTAGAAACGAGAGGACTTCAGGCCACTTCCTCTACAGGCTCCCCCCTCCTCGCTCCCTTAATTCATTTCAGAGTCATGACATAAGCAACTATACAAATCGATATTAGAACAATCACTCTGGTTTTACTACTTTAGGATTAATTCACTTTCTCTGTACTGCTTATTTGCTTTTCATTCTGTGTTCAGAATTTTCCTGTCATTTAATAGGAGCTGTTCTTGATAGATTGTGGTTCAAAGAAAGGAGAAACCCATTATATGGATGTTAAGACTTATTGGGTTGAATGTGGAAATGGCTATCAGAGTCACTTATTTTCAGAGCACACCTGTAGTGCAATAAAATAATTTGCATAGAGCACACTATACAGTGTTCAAGGTTCAAGGATCTGTAAATATGTTTTTCTGCAATGCTGGATTTACTCCATGGGCAGACCATGGCTCCTTGCTCTTTCCATTACTGCTATTTACTCAGAGTGGTCGGGTGGTCAAGGAAGGCAAGAAGAGCAGAGCAAATGACCTCCTGTTACTGCCAAGTTGCTGGTTGTGAGTTGTGACTTGGCCAACACTTCTTCAGACTCCAGTGAGAGCTTTCACTAAGAGAAGCCTTCAGGGTTTAGCCTTTGAGTACCACCTGATATACTGAATACAGGTGAAAGATTATTTTTTTAAAATGGATTCATCCCTTCGAATAGGAATGACTCTAGAAAGAATTTTGCTGAAAGCCAACGCAGAACTGTGCTGGTTGAGTAAAGTGTTATTTGCTTCTTCTCGTATCTGTGCAGTGTTTCTAGTGGCATTATAAGATTATACTCCAGAGACAGCTCCTCTTCAGTGAAACAGAATGGAGATGTGTGTACAGTCACCTGAAAGGCACAGACATAGAGGAGTATGTGTGTATGTATGTGTATAAAAATACATGTGAGTATACACATGTATGTACATGTGCTTTCATTTATAATGTACCATGTCTTAGCAGAGGGACATACCTCAAGATCTTCAAATTGTTTTCCAAAATCTCAGCTCAGCTAGAACCCCTTTTTAGCATGGTTTCCTGAGGAAATGAGGCATTTGTGGTTATTCAGTCTGTGTTTTGGCTTTTGCATTTGGCCTGTAACAATCTTTGAGTTTCATTGCCAATTTTAATTAAATTTGATATGGGGGTAGAAGTCCCAGAGATACGAAGTTTTTACAGGATTAATGAAAACTGGCTGCCAAGTACAGAAGGAAAATCCACTAATACTTGATCTGAAAGAAAGAGTGACGCTGGAGCTCACTCCTTTGAGACAATGAGATATTATGAATGCCCCAACCGTGGGAAAAACTTCAATCAGCACTCACATCTTACTAGACACTAGAGACTCCAACCACAAGATACACATTCATAGGAAACAAGGCTTCATTAGTTCCACCATTCACTTTGATACATGGAATATAATTAAAAGAAAACTGAACATCTTATATGTCCTTCCCCTTGAGGTTTCACACCCTTTAACCAGGTTTGTCTGTACACCAGAGAGAATTGAGCATTTGGCCCTAAAGTAATGAAGAACGCACTGCTTCCAATATCCTGACTCAAAATCTTTCCAAGTATGGGATGCGACACTGATATAAGCAAAAATCTTCCGTGAACTTTTAGCAAATAAAGTCATATACAGGATGACATGAAGAAAATCACAGTTTAGTTTTGATACATATTTTTGAGCATAATGCTGTATGGTTCCAAGCAAAGGCGTGGAAGTTATATTAGTAGGACTTTATACACCTCCTGACTTCCAAATAAGCAACACCCTTGCATTAAGATAAAGAAGGTGACTTGACAGTTTTCAAGACACTAAAACACCTGTTCCTTGAGTAATACACAGAACAAAGTTTGGGTTAAAGCTAAATCCAGTCCTGTTTCTATGATTAATGTCATATTCCAAATTCTCTCTCTCATACATAATTGTTCCTACAGGTGATACTGAAAGTTATTCTGATTGAGATAACTTATATAGCTTCCAAAGATGGGATGTGTTGATTGATTAAATTTTAGGGAAAGTTCCATACACATTATCTGATAATACTACTAATGATGTTTATGATACTGTGAAAAGCAACTGTCTGCTAGACTGTGACAGAGAGAGAACTTTTTAAAGAAAAATAACTGAAACACAAATCTAGGAGAAAAGCTGTCAGAGTGATTCTATTCAGATCTCTAATGTGCATTGGTTTTAGTTACTGCTGTGGTGAAAAAACTATGCAAGACACATGATTTAATTTTTAACTATCCATAGCTTCAGTTGCCAAGTCAAACTGTCATAGGATCTTTTGTTTTGGAAATTCACCTGATTAGTTATGAAGAAGGAAAAATGAGAGTTTACCTGAACTGAATTTTCAGGGCAAAATTGCACAGGAGCTTGAACACAGAAATAACTTCGTTTCATATGCACACATTTTCTCAGACACATTTGTGTTTGCAAAAGTAACACTTATGAAAACTGTGTAGAATTCCAGAAACCGCAGAAGTTGCAGAATACAAAACTACATAACACAATACTTGAAATTCTGAGATGGTTTCTGTAAATATGACTTCGGATTAATAGATTTAAACTGAACATTAAGTGCAAATTATAATTTTTTAAAAAGAAAGGAATTTACCAAACTGGGTTCCTAAGTGTGTTTTGTTAATCTTCAAGTTTTATAGTTTTCCCAGAATAGCTGGTATTTTAGCTTACCTCTATTTGATACTGTAATAAGGTCTTGTTCATTAATACTTCATTCATTCATACCTAATAATCTTTAATGATTAAAACCAAAGTTAAAGAAATAACCTGATACATCATCAATCTGTACAACCTCAGAAGTGTATGTATTGGCTGTCAAACATGCATTATTTCCTAAAAGTTCTTACACATCAAGTATATAATTTATATACACGTTTTATGCTGAACATCTTTATAATCGCTATATTAAATTAAAATCCTTCCTTACACCTTTCTCTTCACAAACTAAGTGAGGTCTTTACACAGGGCTAAAAAATGTCTTCTAATTTGCATAAATGTACTGACTGATATGCACCATTCCCTGTGATAAACTTCCTAAGGCTTTCGCTTTTTAAGCAGTTGTCAGTAACCTCTCTCTCTCCCTCTCCTGTTCTAAATATATAGAGGGGTAGAGAAATGGGAGGGAAGAAAGAGATACTTGTAACTTTTAAGTTACGTGATTTATTTGAAATGATAGAGCAAAATACCAACCCAGGTTGTTTTCCGGCTGTTTCCTTAAAACCAAGGCTGTAAGTGTTTTTATTGTCTCCTTTTTTTCTACCAAAAAGCTGGCATGATCTCGTAGGGGGTCAGGCTGCGCTCTCAATGGAAGTTTTTTCATTAGCCTCAGTGGATAAACAGCCATGACTAGTGACTTTAACCTTCACAAGTCCATTTTGTATTTCATAATCTTTTTAATTCCAAGGTGAAATCCAGTTGTGAGCACATGCCATCCTGATGTCTAATGTTTTGTTTTTATGGACTTTGTGGCTTTCGACCTAGAATATTTTTGAACAATGGTTTGGTTTTGTTGTTTGTGTGTGTGCGAGTGTTTTTATTCATATAACAATTTCAATCTAAAGCCTTTATAATCTTTAACAAATTACTATCTCCATCTCAAATAATGTCTATGGTTATAATGTATATTTTTAAAATTTGCAACTTTAAACCACTGAAAGATCACATAAAATACCCGTTATTGGGGAATTTTGTATACTTTCACCGGAATGATTAAGCATGTGATAAGTACGTGACATTTTCTGAAATATCATACAAGTAGGGGGTTTTCAAGTATAAAAAAATAAAGGACAATTTTTCTCATGGTGCTAATGCTAAGATACATGGTAAAGACAGTTTGTGACTCTTAAAAGAAGGAATGATATCTCGGGGGTGGTGTCACTCCAAAATATCAGTTCTGTTATAACAATGGCTGTCTCTTTTCTAAGAGCTCTGACTGTCTAATTTTTTTTGGTGATCTGAAATGTATGATCTGGAATATTTGTTACGAAGAAGTGTTATAGATGCTGCTGACACAGATCAGATAAGAAACTGACAAGATATTCCCTATAATGCTACCTCCCTATAGCATTATTATGTGCATCCTTCTGTGCGAAGGATTTTCTGAGCATGGCTTGTAGTTGACTGTAGGAATTTGAAGTTATTGAAAAGTCTTTTCTCTCTCCTAAAAAAAAAAAAAAAAAAGAAAAGAAAAAAGAAAAGCGTGTTTAAATCACATTTCTCTTTGAAAATGAAAAAAAAGTAAAACAATTTGGTATTTCATATCTCAAAGCTCGGCAGTTTTCATGTATTGCTCTGTCAGGAGCCTTGTCTTTTCATTCGGTTTCTTTTCTGATTACAGATTATTCATTTATGGATGGGCAGCTGTAGAAACTTGCTTCTTGCATATGCAAATTAATCATGGTAATGTTTATCATAAGAAGATTCTGTGGCAGTAGAAAAGGGGTTGTGTCAACATGTTCTTGATTTCAGTTGTATCTTCTACAAATGGAATTGGCCTCTTTACTTCACCTTCAGAGGATTTTTTTTTTTTTTTTGCCATTTGCCTCTTGGACTAGGCACCGCTCACTAAGCAAGCTGTTCGGTTCACTTACAGATCATGATTTTGGAAGGAGCTGGCAGAATGAGTATCAATTCCAGCAGTAATCTACTCCACCAGCAGCCTTCCTGGACAGACGGATATTCCACATGCAATGGTAGGAGCAATTCAGCCACTCTGAGCCATGTTCTTTATGGGGAGCCAGGGGAAAGGGACTGCTACACCTTTAAGCATGTACAAGTACTATATTCAGTAGTACTAATCCACTGGAGTTTCACTCCCGGTAACAAAAATTTCCATTTGTTATTTTCTTAGTAAAAAACTGAACTTGCAAACCAGACCAGTTTATTGTTAATTTCCTTACTGGTTCTTTTTCTTAAAATTAAATTGAGTTGAAAGTGCCAAAAGTTCTCTTTTCTCAATTCAGAATTCTTTCTCTCTTACTTTACCTCTTCCACCTCCTCTGAACCTGCATTACTCTTCAATGCTAATCACCTCTCTGGCTTTCCAGGAGAATATTCGTTTTGCTGATTTACTGCATTTGCTTTTTTCCACTCAAAGTACTAGATAACTTTCTAATTAGACTGGCATTAGAGCGCTAGATAGCTTGTGACTTGAGATATTTTTTTTCCTCTTACTGTTTTCTGATTATATGTCTGTGTCTATAAAAATGTATTCATATGTATTCTCTCAATATAAAAATATATATATAAACCTCTCTCTCTATATATGTATAGTACTTGATATAATTTTAAAATTCTTTTAATTGTTCAGTGGACAGGTAAACCTTAAAATCTAAGCAGAAAAACACACAATGCTGTTGTCCTTCTAATCCAAATAATACTGCAACAGAACTTACAATGAAAGTTCTCACTCAATTAAAGTCTTATTCTTTTTTGTGTGCAATTTCTAGATACACAGGAATACATCAACATGTACTTAATAAATGTGCTGATATGTTTGTAACAGAGTCATGCAGAAAAAAAGTCCTGGCTGACTTTCACTTTGCACAGGATTTTGTGAAGGGAAATGGTGGGGGTCTATTTTCAAATTTCCAATGTGAAACTTCTCAGGATTCACTTAAGTTTTGGAGGCACAGGGACATCTAATCTCAGACCAGACTGCACAGTAATTCACGACTTCACTTACTTTTACCTAGCTGCTTTTTCCTCTCACTAAAATATCTTCATTTACATTAGGATTCTAATGGCCTCTGAAATTACTTTACCCTTCTGAAGTGATAAGAATACACATTAACCTCCTTTTTTGGGGGATATTTGACAGCTTCATCAAAGCTGACATACCACGCTCTTATAATTTCCACACTCATTCCTCAAAGCCTTCAACAGGAGGATGAGAAACAGTCCTGCAAATTCTCTAAGTTACTGACACAGGCCTTGTTGGCTAATATTGATAAAGAAACCTAAGTAACTATGCTCTCTGAAAACTAGCATTGTGTCCTGTATGTCAACTGAAGAGACCCGTGGTCTAGTGGCACCTGGGGGAAGGCGATTTCCTAAAATGTGCCAACTCTGTTGCTTGTGGTCCTCTAACAATATCTACAGTGTTGTTAATATTTCTCACAGCTGTGTGGTTAATCTTCTTCTAGGGCAGACTAGTAAAGACTGGTGCCATATCCTGAAGTGGGACTACTGCAGAGCTAGGCCATGGCAGTCTTTCCTCCTTCTGTAATCTCTCATCAATCTTAAACTGTTTGTCCACTTGTGAACATTTTATCACACCATTACCTCTACCTGGCATACTCCATTGCCCTTCTTTCCCAAGAAATAAATTGCACTGAACTCTGTGAGGTCAGACCAAAGCAGTCCTGCCTTTGCTCTTATCTTACGTAATTATCCTATCCCGATTACAATTTCTTTCATTTGCACATGTAAATTATTGTCGTGCAATGACATATGACTGAGAACAGTTTGAAAGATCAACAAGAAAAGATTCATTACAACAAGAAAATTAGGCAGCTTCCATAACTAAAAATGAGTTTTATAACTACATTCAGAAACCACCTTACCTTACTTGGCATTCATCTGAATGCCAAGTCAGTCATGAAGCTGTGGCCCACACTGACAGGCTTTTACTGTGGAGCAAGATGAGAGAGCCTTAGCTTTTAACTTTCTTTGATTGAATCCCACAATTCGTATTCAATCCCTACAAAGTTCTTATTCAAAGAAAGTCTCCATGTCACATTATGAGAATTTTGCAAGGCTTTTCCATCACTTTCTCATACACTAAAATTACTGGCTCACACATCCCTTTTCAACAGTACTTCTGTAAGGTGTCTCCCATCAAAGAATTTTGGTGCATTTAGCCAACACTACTAAATTCATTCCTGAAAATTAAGTCAGTGAAGAGATATGTAATGAAATAATTATCAGTTTTCAACTGGAAAACTGAGGCAACCCCCCCCCCCCAACATCTTCTCCAGCAGTAGCTACTGAGTCAGTGTTAAGGACTGAGAAAAGTGTCTATATCTGTGGACTTCCAAGGCAATTGGCCATAGATCTTTATTGTTGATGACATATTGTTGATGACTATTATGTTGACAGAGACTGTAAATATCTATTCTCTTTTCCAGTATCCAGTAGCTTCTATGGAACCCAGTGGCATGAAATACACCCTCAGTACTGGACTAAGTTTCAAGTCTGGGAATGGCTGCAGCATCTCCTTGATACCAACCAACTGGATGCCAACTGCATACCTTTCCAGGAGTTTGATATCAACGGGGAGCATCTGTGTAGTATGAGCCTGCAGGAATTCACTCAGGCAGCTGGGACAGCAGGACAACTGCTTTACAGCAACCTTCAACACCTAAAATGGAATGGTAAATAGATATTAGACAGAGACACATGTACAGTGCTCTGAATTCTGAGATCTTCAGAAGCCACTCACATTCCCCAGAGACCTACCTGGCAAATCATAGTTGCTGTGTTTGCTATTCTGCTTATAGCTCTATAATTACTATAATGTTAAATTTTAAGATAGGACTTAAGCCAGAATTCTGATGGACCAAGAGGAAAGGGTATGTTTCCTGCTCCAAAACTAGCCCTCTGGCTAGTTGTGGAAGTTGCTGCTTGTAGCTAATACCTTTGATTCTTCTGTGCTCATTCTCATAGGTTTTATCTATGCTTTCTTGCAGGCCAGTGTGGTAGTGATATGTACCAATCTCATAATGTCATTGTGAAGACAGAGCAAACAGGTGAGTGACAGTTGGGTAACTTGTCTTTTGATGGTTACAAAAAGGGGAAACTGTTCATTCCAAGAGAGAGATATCAAAATGGCATTAAATAAAATGGAAAGTGTATCATGCAGAATTAAAGAAGTAACACAAATGTTAGTCAGTATCTGCTTCTGAAGTTTTGGGTAACACCACATGCACATGGTCACTTTTCCTGCAGTATCAGCAGTCTACACTAATGGTCAGAGTTGAAATCATTAGTGGTGCTCAATGAATGCAGCTTTGTAGAGGACTTCATTCTATGCTTCATTCATTCAGATTTCAAGACAACTATTTTAACAATATGTCCAGTTAAAAAAAAAAAGGAGAGAAAAAATATTTTGTTATTAAGTTCCTTTAATGTCTGAAATGCTAGGAAATTTCCCAACCTAACAACTTGGAGAGAAAAAAACCCATTACATTTCAATTTCTTCATATGTTTCAAGGAAACTGAAGTCTCTTTTTCTAGTGTCTTCATTGCTAGATCCCTTTGCTCACAGGACTTTGTTTCACTGAAGAAAGAACTTCAGCTTGGTTCAACTGTCCTCTTCAGGCACGATTATTTTCCTGGTTCCTTTGCCAGAGCACTGTCTTTCCTTGCCTGTCCATATCCAAACGTTCTCTATCCCTCTAGTCCCAGCCTCTCTGTATGTGGGTGCATTCAGGAGCCACGTTTTAATATCTGCTGGCAGAACAAGTACACATCTGTTGCATGTGGCGTCTCCGACAAATACTGTCAGCCAGTTTATTCAACTAACCTGTAGGAGCCCAGCCTCCCCAGCCAGGGACACCATTCACCTTCTCCTTGCAGCAGGCAAGCTTTGTAATCTGCAATCCACTCCTTGCCTGTGCCTGCATAGTATGGGTGATGCTCATGCAGCAGCCTTGCTGCTTGTCATAGAGGTAACTCCAGTAATCCTCTGAGTCCTGATTTACGAGATCTTACTATAATATGACTTCCTCCTACTACTAGAGGTACATAGTGCAGGGCAAAGTACCTCAGCTGCACATCCTGGAAAGGACTAACTGATATATGGTTCTCCTAGATATGCCAAATCAGGAGTGGCATGGTGGGGCTCTGGTGATGCTGATCACAGGCGGTGGGAGTGGGTTTAGTTTCTGCATGGAGAGGAGCAGGAACTCTGGATCGGGCTGCTGGGAAACATACTCCTTTTGAGCCAGTAGGGACGGGGCTGGTGATTTTGAGGGGAAGCCTTCCTCATTCTAATAAACCATCACAGCTGCAAAGATATGGGCACTGAAAGAGGCCAAAATGGGAAGGAAAGCTGTCTCCCAGTGTTCTGGCTAGGTAAGGACTGTTTTCAGAGGCAACATTAGGCAGATCAGGTGTCTAAGCAAGCAAAGGGTGTGTGCTATTGTAGGAACGCAAGCCCTGGGTGCCCAAACATGCAGCTATTAGTTAGCATGCCTGCAAAATTCCTATGTCATAAGTGGTAACTCAGCCAAACACAATGATTTAGCTATAACTCATTTTTGTTTTTTTGATTTCATTTATATGAACATGAGAAAAATTAGGTGTAACCTAGATCTGAACTTTATATCTCATCCTTTCTGACCTGGTTTCAAAAGAAAAGGAGATTTTTAAGACTTCTGACCTCAAAAATGAACTGTGAAGAGAGTAATTTCCAGATCAACATACAGATCATAAAGACAATATTTTTGCTTATATTGATCCATATGACCAGAAGGTCACTAAAGACTATTGCCCTTTAATCATTAAGGTGTTTTTTAGGTTAAGGAAGGGACTTGATGTGCCTGGAATAAAATGGTCCTTCATCTAGGATGAGGCTTTGATGTTTCTCACTATGTGCTTAAGCATGAAGCTCTGTTTCAGAGACGACTTTCGAGTTCTACCATTACAGAAATAAATGCTCATCATAAGCATCCTTCTGTTTTAGTAGATATTTGAGAACACTTTCATCTCTATGGCACCAACGCACTGTCATAATTATGAGGGACTGAGAATTCAGGACTGGATTGGGTAGAATTAAAGTTGATCTGGCACAGGAAATGTCCTTCAAGGCCAGGTATAAATTAGTCAGGAAAAGGAAGAGGATATTACATTATTTCTAAAAGTCGGTGCTTTGTGTAAATACATTTGCCTAAATATGCAAAACCCCATCCATAATTTGAGCGAAAGGAAATGATTTTGTGCATAGCCCCTTCACTTCTTGGTTCCCTTGACAGCTTTTTTTTTTTTTTCAAATTCCTAATTCCCTCAATGCTTAATATTTATGTTAAAAAATGTCCTTTTAGTGATCTGATTTTCCTTTTGGTCCTTTACTTTCAGATCCGTCATTAATGGTGTCCTGGAAAGAAGAGAATTATCTGTATGACAGTGGCTATGGTAGCACAGTAGGTAACTAACATCACTTCATGCATTTCTGAGATGGTTTTGTTGTTGTCTGAGGCTATTAGTTTAAATGTCTTCTTTTTAATTCCCAGAGTTATTGGACAGTAAAACATTCTGTCGTGCTCAGATTTCCATGATGACACCTAGTCACCAATCTTCTGGTAAGGAACTTGTAATTATATTTTTAATTGTTTGTCACTTGTCTCAGAGCTACCAACATGTAATAGTCTCTGTGGTCTTCTGCTGCAGGATTGAGTCTGAGCCTCCAGTGATTTTAAACCAAGCAATGCTGATTCTGACAGATTTATTAGCTGTCATTATTACAATAGCTTGCTTTAAAGAAATGTTTCTCTCTTCTCTATGTCAAGACAAAGATGATAAAATAGTCTGTAATCTCCACATATCTTTTAAAGTATCTGAGTCAAAGGGGCAGATGTTGCTGTCAGAGAGACGAGATATTCCAGCTACACTACACTTTTCCGTGGTATAGTAGGGTACGGGCAAACAAGGGCCGTATTCCTCCCCAGAAGTGGCTGTGTTTCTCTAGTGAGCCAGTGACTCATGCTGAGTAGGTAGCTGGGTTTGGGGCCAAGCTTTGGGTTGGCCCAGGGAAGCCATAGGGCAGGCACCAAGCCCTCTGCCCAACTGCACCAGCACAAAGGCCTCCCACTGGAGCCTGTCTCAGCTGATGGCAGGATGGTCACCGAACACCTCCTCACTTCCATGAGGGAGAGTTGCACTCTACTTGCTAAAGAGCAAGAAAGAGCAAACCCATTTGCTGTAGTGCCTGGTGAAAGTCCACTCTGGTCACGTGTGTCGGGGCACTCTGTGGGCCCTGTGCTGGGGGCAGGCACCAGGGATGGAGGTGAGAGAGTAAGGCAGTGGGAAAAGAGTAGAGCAGAGATAACAGGGGAGCAAGAAAGCGGGGGGGGGGAAGGCAGGTTCTTCTTAGGAGGCTGTTAAGCAAAGAGATCTGAGGGAGAAAGTAGTAGAAGTCCCAGGAGGATATGAAAGAAAAGCAAGAGAGAGAAGAGAGAAAACTTGACCAGAAGAAGAAAACCACCAAACCTTAAAAAAAACCCCAACCAAACACTCTGTTTGCTTTCTCTGTCGTCTCCACCCACTCTCATAAGATGGTTACTAGGATGTCAGAGCTCTCTGACATGGCTGGGGACTTGCCCAGATCCTGGCATGGTGTGTTTATCCGCTGACTGCTTAAGCCTAGAGCTAGGGTGGCACGCCAAGGGCACAGCCTCCTGTAAAAACTAAATTTGTGTATCCCGTAAAAAAATAGCTCATTCCCGAATCATATGCAAATAATGTGTAACCTTTTGTCAAAAGTTTTGCAAGACAGCTTTGTTGAAACTGCATCATAACTCTTTTCATCTGTCAGGCCCCAGTCTCCTAACATGGCATGATTGAAACCAGTCTCCATGTAGGAGCTGTGGCAAAGCAGGTGGCTATTTACACAGCTGAAATCCAGAATAAATCACCGGGTAGGCAGAAGGCAACTGAACTTCCAAGAATAAATCTCCAGCTAAGTAGAGCATAACAAACATTTGCACGCGAATTGTGAGATTTTAAAATGAGAAGGATTTATATGAGGGCAAATAAAGAACTGGGTTCTGCAGTCCTTACCTGGAATTCCCACAGGCTTTTAATAACATCAGGGGAATCATAATCTGAGGAAAGGCAGTGAAATAAGCTTCATTTTACTTCCCCCACACCACACCCCCTTCCAAGCTGAGTGAGGTTCGGGTTAGTTCCTGCTCTTTGAGAATGGAAAGGCAAAATGACTCAGAGCACGTTTGCTGCTTGGGGGTCAAGGACAGTAATTTATCAGGCTTAGAATAGCAGAGGTTAGGCTTATCCCCACGGACTTGTTCAGTTGATGTTTCCAGTTATGTATGAATAAAGCAAGTGTGTGAATAACTTTGCATCTACCTTTTCACATGCAGTTATTGCAGTAGCTTGTGCAGATCTGACAAGTTTCTATGCAAATAAATATTTCCTGTGAGTCATTTTCCCATGCAAATGCCTGGTTTCCATGAAAAGTATGATAATTGTGCATTCATAGAAGCTGGGAAAACATGCGTGGGACCTTAAGCTTTGCTTTATGGGATTCAGGGACAAAGTATTCTGAAAACCAAACACAGAAGGGGCTCCCTCTCAGGACTATCCCACAGATTTTGTGAGACTTAGAGCAATCAGATGAAAGCTATTCATTAAGAACAAGAGCAGAGCCAGGCTGTGGTGGTTTGAGGGCGGGAGGGTTGAACGTGCAGACTGTGAGGTAGGTTACAGTCATGAACAGGCGGAACTCTTTTTTTCATTTCTGAAGAAATACTTGTGCCAGAAACCCTACTCCTCCTCTGGCTGGCTGCAGGTGATAAAGTACCATTGATGAGAAATGGCTTGTTTCTATGGCTCTGAGCCACAGAAAAATATATGCACGTCCAGCTGCCAAAAACTCCTACTAGCGCAGCCCCTTTCCCCCACCTTGCCCCCCCAAACAACAATGCTTTGCCAGTTCATTATGTTTTAGTCAGGTAGGTGTTCTGTGCATTGGTACCAGCACATACATTTCACATTAGATCATCTCTTCAGAAGCAAATAAGCCCCCAAAGATACGTGCTTCTGCAAAGTCTAAGACATAATGGGACAATTCAGGATTCCTTTTATAGATGTGATCATCTTATTTTTCTCTCTCTCACACATAACATGAGGTGAGGTATTTGTTAATCAAATTTAGGTTTCAAAAGCCAAATGTTTACCTCTGCATTCATTCTTTATTCATCAATGGTCTCTTTGAGAAGTGTGCTGATTAACATATAGTAAAGAAAACAAAACTCTCCCTCCTCACTTAGATTACCTTCCGAAAAGTGATTATCTTTAAAAGAGATATTTGTTCTTTTTTGTGGTTTTATTTCTTTCAACCTGCTAGTCAATGGAAAGCCTTTAATCAAATTTACAAATAGACTTCATTTTCCTTCTCTGCAGACTCTTCAGATGCAAAAAAATTGCAAGATCATACCCCAAAGTCCCACACCAAGAAGCACAGTAAGTCAACATCCATGTTTATAATGATTGGTTAGTTGATTGAAGGAAAAAGAAACACATGAAAAGCAAATCTTTTTTAGAAGGGAAGAGGAATCATTTTGAAAGCAAAACTGGCTGGATTGTTATTGTGATTGAATTCTCCAAGGATCTGACTGTCTAGTACTGTTTGTTTACATTATATGTGACTCAATATTGTTAAATTTTTCAAATTGTTCTTATCAGTGAGGGCTTATGGGGAAGCAACCAGAAACCAGCCACCTCTGCCCTATGTTGAGCTGGGCTGGTGGAATGAAGTAAAGGAATGATGAGGAAGACCTGGGATTAAATCTGGAAGGTCTGTGCGTGGACATCGTCATGCTCGTGCCTGTGCCTGCCAGGTGCAGCATCCACCACAGACCCTGCTCAGCATCTCCTTGCAGAACTTCTCACGCATGACATTCCAAGCAAGCACCTGCCCCTCAATCTTGCCACCTTCTTCTCCTCTGATATGACTTTCTTTCCACTCCTCTCACCAGTGTTTTCTGTAGTGTTTATTCAACCTGACTCTGAAGACAGGTTAGCATAATTGTGATTTCTGTACGTAGTTCCATTAATGTACTTTACTGACATTTTTATGGGTCCTGTGTAATTCCCTCTTTATAACAGAAAAGCTTAATATTAGTCCATCACTGCATTTCATGGTATTCAGTTTCATCTTGTTTTGATATGGCCTCCAGATTATGTCTTTTCCTGACTCCTCTTCTTAGACTGTTCTGTCATTTTGCCCAAACAGAACTCTAGAACTTTATATCACACAGATATCTCGTTTCTTTATTTGTGTGTATCATAAAGTTGTTAATGAAAGGATTAGATAGGACTGATCTGAAGACAGACCTGTGAAGAACTGAAGTCTCCTGACTTGTTCAGCTTGGAGAAGAGAGGGCTGAGGGGTTCCCTCCTCACAGTCTACATCTTTCTCAAAAGGGCTGATCTTTTCTCTCTGATGACCAGCTGTAGGACATGAGGAAATGGAATGAAGCTGTGACAGGGAAAGTTCAGATTGGACAATAAAGAAAGGTTCTTCATCCAGAGGGTGGTCAGTCATCAGAACAGGCTCTCCAAGGACGTGGTCAGAGCAGCAAGCTTGATAGAGCTCAGGGAGTATCTGGAAAATGCTCTTAGTCATATGGCTCAGTTTTAGAAGTCCTGCGAAGAGCAGGGAGTAGGACTCAATGATCTTTATAGGTGCCTTCAAACTAGAGATATTCTACTATTCTAAGAACTCAATCACAGCCTTGGCATACAGAACAGGTTACATTGACAGTCTGGGCTAACCCCCTACATTTCCAGTTTCTTCAGTACTGCTCTGTATCATGACCATTGAGTATGTTTCTGATGTCCAGATAGGCTAGTTACTGGTTCTAGAAAACAATTACAAGAACAAGGAAAAATATTGTATTAGTTGACTAAAATCCATTTCTACTTATGTTGCACTGTATACCATTTCTGAGTTATCTTCACATCTTTGACTAGCTTCTTTCCTTCTTAATTTGGTCTAATTGCATACTTTTGAAGTCAGACCAAAGGACTGCTGTCTTTCTGGCTAACCTTGTCAGTTTGTTTGTTATTCTTCATTCATAAACTACTTCATCTGAATTGTTGCATTTTTTTAATCTTTTTTTTTTTTTTTTTTGACCTGGGCTTTCTGATGCCATCTCTATAGTAACTGTGGGATGCATTTGTGTTTAAACTGGGAGGTCTATCTGCTGAACTTGCAGATCTGTTTTTGCCTTTTCTATACCGTTGTCAAGCTTTTTAATATGCTTTTCACATACAATTTTGGCTGGCTAGTTTTGTTACTGTCCCCCTATCCACTCTACACCTTCTTACTTACTCATTCTTGTGGAATGGCATTTCACCTCCTGTGCCTTCTGTCTGTCTTTTAAGTGCTCGGAGGTTCAGTGCCTGCTTCACAGTAAGCTTGGCTGTTTCATGTACCACACAATAATATCAGGTTAGATGTTGTGCTGTAGAAGAGTATCAGGAAAAATGGGTAAATGAGATGAGGGGAAGGCTTAAACATGTTCTCTTCAAGGCAGAAAGAATGCCAAAGGCAGAAGGAAGCAGTGGGTGGTTTGGACTCTGTTTCCTCTGCTTGCCAGGGCTCCTACCTGCCTGCCAAAGGGCTCAGACTGCCTGAGGCTGACACTTACCTCCAGCCTCAGTGTAAGGCCTGCCAGTGCTTTTTGCCTTTATATCTCTGAGACAGGGGTCCTGCACTCCAGAACTATGGCCTGTCCCTACTGAGTGTTCACCCTCTGCAGATGACATAAAAATGGCAATTAGAGCCCAGAAAGCTCCTGAGACACTCCTTTTTCCTACCTCCTTTCCTCTTTCAGACCCTCGAGGAACTCATCTTTGGGAATTTATTCGAGATATTCTTCTCAATCCTGAGAAAAATCCAGGATTAATCAAGTGGGAAGACCGGTCAGAAGGTGTCTTCAGATTTTTAAAATCTGAAGCTGTGGCTCAGCTCTGGGGAAAGAAGAAAAACAACAGCAGCATGACTTACGAGAAACTCAGCCGGGCTATGAGGTGAGCTGAAATGTTGCTGAGGAAGACTGCAGCACATAAACACACTAGCTGAATGGAGAATCTGTTTGACGTTTAAAAGTGATTTGTCAACAGCATCAGTTGCTTTCTTTGACAGCTAAATCTCTCCCACTAATTCTGACATTGTAGGATTATATTCTTCTTTGTCTTTTCTTCCTCTCCTGTTTCTATATACTATAGTATATATAACATAAACAGTTGTTTATATATATATATATTCTATTGCTCTCCACCCAAACAACAAAAGTAGGAAGGAAACTTTGTTGCAGAAAGATAAAAGTTCACCTACTACTGAACTGGAGAGGCTTAAATGGCCCAGTAATGGCCAGAGACCTTGTTATTTTCAGCAATGTTCAGAAACTAGTCATATCCCAGACCCATTATCCTAAAATAGGTTTACAAATTCTATGTTAGGACTTTCTTTCCCGTTTGATTTAACATTTTGAGCATTTTTCCATAATCTCTGGAAGTTGAAAATGTACTTTTAAATGGAAGCTGAGGTTTTTTCCTGGTCTGATTTCAGATCCTGGCTTATCTGGGAACAAATCCCCATGGAATAAGGGTGTGAGATAAATATAGCAATATGCTTTTACCTTATATATGGTAAACTTCGAACTCAGAAGCTAATCAATATAAAGTAAAAAGGAGACTTCCATTTTTCCTTCTCTGTCATTCAGTGATAATGATCTTAGGTATTATATATATCTCTCAACAGAAAATAAAGACTTTTTAAGCCAGCCGAGGAATTGTCTAGTTGGCAGTGGCCTTTTAGCACCATAGATGAATTTACTCTTAAATTTTTGTTGTATGTTTTTATTTTAACAGATACTACTATAAAAGAGAAATCCTGGAGCGTGTGGATGGTCGGAGATTAGTATATAAATTTGGAAAGAATGCCCGTGGTTGGAGAGAAAATGAGAATTAAATATATCAAGAAATAACATTTAAAACACGTGGATGTAAATATTCAAAGACTATTTTCTTATATTTATGTACCAAACTGGGGTGAAAAAACAATTCTACTTCTGTCGGGAAGAAAGAACATTATCATTATTGGTGTTAAAATTATTTTATTTGAAGTAAGTCCTGTATGGGGAAAAAATGTACACAGTTTTCTGTGATATAAGTTAACATTATAGAATTACGATTATTTTTCCCTTCTTGTGAAGTTTTCCTCTTTTTTTTTTTAAATCATACAGGCATAATGTGATTTATGAGTCGTGAAAAGAAAGGGAAGGAGCTAAATACTAGGGCATTTAGGGAGTATGATAATCCACTTTGGAAGGCAACTACAAGTGGAGAAAACAGTAAAGCATCTCTGAGCCAAGTAGCCTTCTTCCATAGTCAGCTGGTTTATAGCTTTCATTGGCCAATACTACTTGTTCCTTCCCTTCTCTGATTTCTGAGTGTTTTAACGCTTTGCTGGCTTTCAGCTGCTTGTTGAATTAGACAGTGGGTTCCTCTTCAGTTGGTTTATCGCAGCCACAGAAAGCAGTGGCTCAGCAAGGTGGCTGTCAGCATTTATGTGGAGAACCCATACTACCTCCAGCACTGTGACCTTCTTTTGCAGGCAGAAGTTTAGGACCAGACCTTATCTGATACGGAGTATCCTAATCTCCAAAGAGCATCCAGCTCATCCCAGGAAAAGGGCTATTTGTTTTAACTAATATCTTGGAGGTGAACTGCAGGAAGGGAGTCAGACTTGGGGACCAAAAGATATTGAAGGAAGATGATTGTTTTCTGACTGTGCAAACCTACCAAAAGGCACTTGTTTCCCAGTAGGAATATTTATAGTCCTCTTGTGCTCTTGCACTCCTAATTAAAGCATTCAAATCCATGCCATGTAGAACTGTGAGGAGATGGGCAAGCAGAACATATGTTAGTCCCATGACATGAGGAAGTGGTCTGCAGTTTCTTCAAGTTGTATGATCCTCCTGGCAGGTCAAGTCTCACTTGGACAGATACTTTCAAGAAACCTTTGAGAAATGCAAAAAACCCCTTTGTGTAAAATATTAGTTTTCCCTTTGCTTTTTCTCAAGTCTAACTCTGTATTGTATTTGTATTTGTATTTCCAAGTTGTGCTTGGAATTCTTGGTTGGAGAAAAACCCGTCAACTTAAAGGCATTGAGATTTTGGGGACATTCAGATCTGGGTCGGTATTTTGGGCTCATCTCTAGCAGTGCTGTGCAGATACTGTATGTTCATTGGCAGCTTTTTCTTTCTCTCTCCACAAATGCTTCCTGCTGACACCAACCACATCCAGGACATGGGGAAATAAAAACTAGAGGAGGCAGCTCTTCACCAGGTCACTGAGTACATGAGATGTGGGAGTTGAGAAACAGGATTTTCTTGGTGATGTTAACAGAGGTGAAACCAAGATCAATACCAACTCACTTTTTCAGGGATGGGGACTTTGGAAAACAATAACAAGGGCTGAGAAGTCCAAGATAAAAAAAGAAAGAAAAAAAATTGAGATTAAAAACATTAAATCCGTCCAATATCCGTTTTCTCAGGAGTCCCTTGGGTTTGAATCTGTATTAGCTTGAAATTCAGCAGGGTACAGCTGGAGGTTGCAGGATATTCCATTTTTTGTTTGTCTTGAAAGGAAATAGAGATGAAACCAAGAGACAACAGAAGTATCAATATAAAGGTTATAAAATGCGCTTAGCAACAATTTGTAGGCAAACATGAGAGCCTAACTTGTTATCTACACATGTAGGGCATGTTAAACAGTAACACTGCCTCCTACACTGTGTATGCCAGAGCCGTCACCATCAATTACCCATACATGACAATTCTTATTTTTCATAACCTGGGTGGAGAGAGGTTCATCTTATTTACAAATCAAATAATAAGCCTGTGTACTTCAAAGCATTTTTTTCTTTCAGTCTATTTTTTTTTTGACTGACTGTGCCAGCCTTGCTTGCTTTCACGCAACTCAATTAATTTCCTTTTTTAGCTTAATTTGCTACATTCCACTTCCTTTACCATAATTTTGTAGTTCATATAACAAGAATCAGGCCTCCAGATGAGGAGAGCACTTTGCTCCTAAGATCATTTCTTCCCCCCACCTGATTATGTGTAGCCCTTTGCTCCATGCTCTTCACACCACATCCCAGTCCAAACCTTGGGTTAAAATCTGAAATCAGTGGTACCATCACAGATCTGCAATATAGTTGTACCTTATAGGTTAACATATATCCTACAGCAACTGACTATAATACCTTCACAAACCTGCTTTTTACCTGATCTCTCATGAAATTTCTTGGGAGATAAAATGAACCAGTGATACATGAGTGTCACCATTTGGTTGCTGAGCTGTAGCTAAACCTGCTTTTAAAGGTTTTGAAATATAAAGCTTTATTTAGAAGCATACTGTACAAATGTAGAGAGTGATTTATGCTGGGGTGCAGTATAAATGTGTCTTCCACTGTCCCATCTTTCAACACGTGGAAATCATGCAAGTTTCTGTTTCCACTCTGCAGAACTTTTCAGACTAGGTACTTGTCATTCAGCATTACAATAGCACAAAGCTGGAATAGAAGACAGCCAACATTTACTCTATTTTACAAATATATTAGCCTTTGCCTAAGACAAACACAAAGGACTGTTTAAAATTACAGTTCTTGCCAAGGACAGATGCAACCAGCCAAAGAGATTCTTTTTATCAGACCTAAGCAAACGGAGAAAATGAAGAGATGAATTTTAATGTAAATTGCTATTTAGACAAAAAGCATTTCTGATTGCTCTTATATTTTATATTTCAGAGGCTGAGCAATCATATTTTCAGATGTCTCCTTTAAGTTAGCTGCTGCTGAACTGGTAGCACCATGTGTATAGATTTTTATTGTACCATAATTTTTCATATGTATAAAGCTCTAGATAGGAAAATATATTGTATTTATACAGTTACATGCAAATCACAATGTCAAAGGTGTTGGCATGAGCACTCTCAATATTTTCTGCACAAAAAACATCCTGATAAACTGTATGTAGGTTGTTGAACTACATAGACATTAAAATGTTTAGTTAAATTTTCGTCTTTCTGCAGCACATTGCATAATTCCTGCTTGCTTCTCACAGCATCATCTTCAATGTCTACGTGTGGCAACAAACCCAAGCTAGATATTTCACTATTGCCATTGTAAATCTCGGCTTGGAGATTATATATTCACAAAATGGTTCTAGAGACTGTTTCTATTTTTGTGGATATTATATAAATTCAAATAAAACACTCATGAAAGAAATGTTTTGATTAATATTTATCTTTCCTTTTTTGTGTCTTGAGATTGGAAGTGACCAGTATGAATTCTTTCAGTACTGAAGAATATTTCAATATTGACAAAAGGACTGATGTAACTACCACAAAATCCAATAGCTTAAATTTACTAATGTGTTGAATAGCTCATCTATTGTGAAGATACTGGATTTCCAAACCTGTTTTATGTCTCACAGCCCTCACTGAAATAATGGATTATGTCAACACAGCTAGATTGCCTTTCTTGTTTGGCTGCTAAACTTGACAAAGGCCTTACTTCATCACTGATTTTACTTCAAGGTATTTTGAACTGAGTGCAAGGGCTGGGCTGATTAAGGATGCTGTTACTCACATTAAGCATTTCCTTTACTGAATCAAAGCAGCTAAAGCTATGAAATCCTGTCCTTCGTGTTATTTTTCCATCTAAGTGGTGGCTACAGAAAGGGAACATCTATCCTGATTTGGTCTGCAGCTTGAGGTACAAAAAGTGAAAATCCTTATAATTAAAAGAAAGTCAAAGTAGACCCATGCGGATTGTATTTGCACTCTGTGTGGGACCGTGGCTGTGTCAGTAGGCTGTGAGAGTGTAGAGTGTAGTTCTGCAATAAGCCAGCCTGTAGCCCCTGTGGTTGCTGTGTTTGGTATCCCGGGCTGGCAGCATGACGTGGTGGAGTGTGGCATGCCTGCCCCAGTGACCTTGTTGCTGTGACAGCAGATCTGGAGTTGGGCTTGAACCTCAAATCAAGAGCTTCACTGCAATGGGGCAAATCACACCATCGTACTCTTTAATCTGCAAATGTGCTTAATTTTAAGCGAGTGGTTCTGCTGCATTTGAAGTTATGTATATGGATGTTTGGGGATGGTTGTTCTAAAAGCGTTCAGAATTAGCCTGTGTTTGAACGCAGAATTTCAAGGGGATCCAACATTATGCCCACATTAATAGGAGAATAGGTTTGAATTTTAAACACAGGTACAAACCCCATGTTTAAAATGCAAAATGAGGCCCATGTCCTGAAAGGGTGGTCATATTTTGAGAACTTTGGAGTCCCAAGCCAGGTTTCAAAAGGAATTGGAACTGGATTTCAGGCAAGTTCAGATTGAGTTTTGAATAAGCACACAGCTGGTTTTCCAGTAAACACTGGAGCTTTCGTTTCAAGGAAGCTGAGGCCAATATTTGAGGCAAATGAGAATATTGTTTGGAAACAGGTAAACAAATGCACACTTAATAAATAAATTAAAACAAACAAACAAAAAACAACAAACCAAAAAACCACAAAAATCCCCAAGCAAACCAAAATGCTTCTTTGGTTGTCACTTAAAATCAAGGAAAACTTCATCTTTCAGCTGCAATCTAAGGCCATGTGAAATAAAAATTCAAGGCAAAATTCAGAGTTTGCAAATCATATGTAAATTGAGAATAAGTAATAGGAGTACTGTAAATAGAGTCAACCTACATCTAAACATGATACAAATTTGTGTGCAGGCCTGCATCAAGGAAAAGTGAGAATTGATTCAGGTAAGTGAAATCTGGTACTGCAGAGAGATGAGCAATTAAGAGTTACCAATACTAATAGCTTCCAAGAAGTATAAGTGGGTTAATTATAATAACCTGAAAGACAGATTATCTATCTAGATTTTCAGCATATGCTCCCTTGCTGATGGAGCTTTGCACAGTGTAGTCTAAGTCCTAAAATTTGTGCAAGCCAAGAATTTCCCTCAGCCACCACCCTTTCCTCAGATATTTAGCTCCTTCAGTTCACCTAAATGTTAGAGAAAACAATAGGGAAAATAAAAAATAAAGTAGGAGGAAGAGACTGAGTAGATGGCCAGGTCTTAATGCGCCCAACAGTTCTGTGTGAAAATACAAAGGCTGTATGTGCAAAAAAAGCTAATGACATCCAAGTCACTCTATTTCTAGTCTTTCCATCAGAGGCTGGTTGCAAAAATTAGACATAAATTAGTGTTTACAAGTCTAATTATAACTTTAAGAAGAAACTATAGCAATATATCTATGTACACTGTATCATCTTGTGTGCCTCAAAAAATTAATTATGAAAAATGACTGAAATACTATTTCTGCTGAAGAATTTCTTCCCTCTGTATTCAATATGGTGTGATATTCTCTTTGCTTTCATCTTGGTTTGAAATTCAAAAATAAGATTCAGTCTCAACACAGGGAATGAAGAGGGAAATGGATGACCTGTAATGTTGAAGCAGGTATTGCAAAACAAATAGGCAAACTGTAGCTTCTTCTTCCTAAGCTTTTTGGCTCCTTATTTTAGCATTTTTACTGTCCCTGGGAACAAGGTGTGAAGCTGGGGATAAATTTCAGTATCAGTGACACACCTTGCAAATTTTGCAGAGGAGCCTCCCCGTCTCGCTCTAAGAGTGGTGAAGAGACCTTCAGAGGATGAACACTGAAAGCCTCCTTCTTATAACTGAGGATGTTAAGAGGATGAACACAATGCCTTGCACCCTGCTTTCTAAAGCTCCTTTCTGAATCTTGAAAGCTTTGGACAATAATGCAACCTTCAGCATTGTGTGGCAAGGAGATTATTGTTCTTCACAGCCCACTAGGAAAGGCTGCAGGATGGCTCCATAGCAACCTATGGGTGAGGAGAAGTGCTGTGTTTATTCAGGTTGCAGTCCCTGGAGACTGTAGGATTCACTGCATACAAAGGTCTAATTCCAGTGTACATCTTCATCTCCTGCATTTCTCAGATGTGCCAAGCAGATGTAGGGTGAAGATTTTTAAGAATGCATCCCAAATTCTTCTATGAGTGCTGCAGGAAGGTCAGAAGATCATCGGGATGGTTGAATCTCCTTGAGGTGATGCTGCCATGAGGATGCTGAAACACAGCTGTCCGCTGGATATCATGAAGCCCTCTGGGAGAAGGGACTGCACCTTCTTTAAGTCTTGTCAGTTTTTCACACTATTTGTCAGATTCTGCCTCCAATTTTTTCTCACATCCACTTTTCCCAAGTTTTGTGGTTATAACATTGATGGCTCTACCCACAGAACATGCTCTTTCCTTGGAACAGAATGTAAAGAGTTTGTCTGTCTATCTTTTGAATCAGTTTTCACTGGCTAAGACTAAACCAGCCCTCTGTAGGCTGTGAATTTGCCAAGCAGGGAAAATTTAAAAGTGCAACCCAAATCTGTAACTAGGGGCTCTCTCAGTGAGTCACTGAAGTTTGGAGAGAATGGAGGATCACACCACAGGTCTGATCTTGCCCAGTTAGTTTCCTGTGAACTATGATACTTCTCAACACAGCCATCCCATGAAGCCTGTGCCTGAACACGGACAGAAGGAGAAACAACATTCACCACCAAAGACTCACAGACTGGAATCTTATGCTATCTAAGATTCCTGTATTTTCAAAGAAAGTTTAAATAGACAGATAGGTAATTAAAAAAAAAAAAAAGG